ATATTAGACCCGTAGGCCTATACTGTTTTGTTTTCGTTTGTCCATTCTCTCGCCTCACAGAAACACATAGGAACAAACAAACAAACGACAAGTGCGAAATGCAGTTATTCTATTGAATGATTTCATTAGAGTAAAAATACTATTGTAGACCTATGTTTTTTATATCCTATGCTAAGTGCTATTTCAATTTTTAAATAATCATAGCGAAAAAAAATCATATCTACAAATCGTAATTTAAAATACTAATATACATTAGTAAATACAAAATTCTTAAGTTTCTTCTAAAATAATACATTAAAGATACCGAAATATTGAGCGGGTAAAACAGTCTACATGCAACAGCAAAAGAGAATCAAAGAAGGCCTAATTCATAAACACTTAATATGCTGATCTTATTTGAACTATTTTTGTGAGTTTCTTCTTAAATACAAATACAAAATAAAGGTCTTATCCGTTGTCTTCAATTATATAAAGAAAGGACATCAGGGCCGGCCTTAGGCATATGCAAACTAAGAAGCCGCTTAGGGCCTCCGATTGGTGTGGGTCTCGCACAGGACTCACAACAATAATTTTAGAGAAGAACTAGCGAAACTTGTCCCCAATAACGAAACTTGTCCCCAATAACGAAACTTGTCCCTAATAACGAAACTTGTCCCCAATGTTATTCTTGGAGTACAAATAAATTGCGTAATTTAATATTTTCGCTGTTGATTTTTATCTTTCTGTTTCATTTGAAGCCACCAAATTTACTTCGCCTAGGGACTCCAGTTATCTAAGGCCGGCTCTGCTGTCATTAATGGTCCACTCTACAGGTCACTAAGGTCAGACAATGTACACAGATCTTTATGTACCTCATCAATACTGATACAATACTACTCTTATATATTAGAAAACACATTTTTCCACCGTCACTTTATGAAGTGTTGTCTTTTGTCTTTCTGTTGCTAGATTAGGTATCAGGCTATACATTCGATTGGATAGTTTAGACAATGATCACGATAAAAGTTTTCTTGACGAATTATAATGTTGACTTGTAAGTTGACCTGCACACACAAGAAAAAAAAACAACAACAAAAAATCAACATCTTTTTTTAAAAATGTAAAGAACACATGTCTCTCTCTTCCAACATCTCGAGTCATGTCTAATTGTCCACTCTCTGCGAATCACGAGAACCATTAAGGAGGGGAAGATAAAGAAGGAATAGAGGATCCAGTAGTCAATATTCCAGTTGCTGACATCCAACAGGGGCCAAAAAGTCAAACTGATTGAGCCGAGTGGAGATAGTTTGCATGCATTAGGCATCACTAAAGAGCAATCTCCAGCGAAATATTTCTGAGGAATAGAGCGAATTCCGGTGTAGAATTGAAGAAACAATTTCGTTATGCAAATACAGATAATCGGAATTTGTCTGGCACAGACTCCTTGATTGTCGAGTAAACGCCAGAAAACAGACGGGCAATAAGAGTTTTTTTGTCCTTTAGAAAACATGGTAGACGGAACGGGTTAAAGTGCTGGGGGGGGTTGTCACGATATCCGGGGCCGAGTGAAGGGGAGGGGGAGAGGGCGCACGAAGAAAGAATTTTCGGATCTGGGATTGTAATCGCGATTTAAAACACTGGAGTGTTGGACTAAATACACTGATGTGTGGGAGTAAATACACGGGTCTGTGGGACTAAATGCACTAATGTGTGGGACTAAATACACTGGTGTGTGGGAGTAAATACACGGGTGTGTGGGAGTAAATACACGGGTGTGTGGGACTAAATACACGGGTCTGTGGGAGTAAATACACGGGTGTGTGGGACTAAATACACGTGTGTGTGTGGGACTAAATACACGGGTCTGTGGGAGTAAATAAACTGATATGTGGGAGTAAATACACGGGTCTGTGGGACTAAATGCACTAATGTGTGGGACTAAATACACTGGGTTGTGTGGGACTAAATACACTGGTGTGTGGAACTAAATACACTGGTGTGTGGGACTAAATACACGGGTGTGTGTGACTAAATACACTGGTGTGTGTGACTAAATACACGGGTGTGTGGGACTAAATACACTGGTGTGTGGAACTAAATACACTGGTGTGTGGGAGTAAATACACTTGTGTGTGGGACTAAATACATGGGTGTGTGGGACTAAATACACGGGTGTGTGTGACTAAATACACTGGTGTGTGGGACTAAATACACGGGTGTGTGGGACTAAATTCACTAATGTGTGGGACTAAATACACTGGTGTGTGGGAGTAAATACACTAATGTGTGGGACTAAATACACGGGTGTGTGGGACTAAATACACTGATGTGTGGAACTAAATACACGGGTGTGTGGTAGTAAATACACGGGTGTGTGGGACTAAATACACGAATGTGTGGGACTAAATACACTGGTCTGTGGGACTAAATACACTGGTGTGTGGGACTAAATACACGGGTGTGTGGGACTAAATACACTGGTGTGTGGAACTAAATACACTGGTGTGTGGGAGTAAATACACTGGTGTGTGAGACTAAATACATGGGTGTGTGGGACTAAATACACGAGTGTGTGAGTAAATACACTGGTGTGTGTGACTAAATACACGGGTGTGTGGGACTAAATTCACTAATGTGTGGGACTAAATACACTGGTCTGTGGGACTAAATACAATGGTGTGTGGGACTAAATACACGTGTCTGTGGGACTAAATGCACTAACGTGTGGGACTAAATACACTGGTGTGTGGGAGTAAATACACTGATGTGTGGAACTAAATACACGGGTCTGTGGGACTAAATACACTGGTGTGTGTGACTAAATACACGGGTCTGTGGGACTAAATACACGGGTCTGTGGGACTAAATACACTGGTGTGTGTGACTAAATACACGGGTCTGTGGGACTAAATGCACTAAGGTGTGGGACTAAATACACGGGTCTGTGGGAGTAAATACACGGGTGTGTGGGACTAAATACACGGGTGTGTGGGACTTAATACACGGGTCTGTGTGACTAAATACACGGGTCTGTGAGACTAAATACACGGGTCTGTGGGACTAAATACACTGATGTTTGAGAATTAACATTTCTAACGTGCTTGACTAAAGACATTAAAAGTGAAATGGCGAAGTCTAGAATGCATTTTAAAATTTTGTATTCTTAGTTTTTATTATATTTATTTATTTTTCAAAATAGGTTAAAATATTTGCAAATGTCCTTTTTTGTTTTTTGTTGTTGTTGTTGTTGGGGTTTTTTAAATGTCTGTTCTTAAATCGACCTCCATTTCGACCTTTACATTGCTGACAAGAATCGCAAATATCAAGAGACAATTCCTTTGGTATTTTGAGAATTTGTGTTCAATGGTTTCTCTCATCTCAGTGGCTGTCGCATGTTTCATAACGTAGACTTTGTCTTTAAGTTATCCCCATAAGAAAAAAAAAATTCTTTTTCCTGTTATACAACGTAAAAATTATGTTAATGAGGACGTTGAAATAGATGTTTATGTTATTCTGTCTAGGAGAAATCTATAATATCTCAGCTGTCATTTTTGTTTTAGTTACCCAGTATAATGAAAAGCATTCAGCTTTGTTTGTTGTTTTTCGATCACCAGAAATGTGATACTTCTAGAGTCTTGTTGTGTGTAGATCTTAGTGAATTCATTGTTTCTTCTTTTATTTAAAACCTGCAGCATCAATGCGCACCAATTGGGTGCCTACAGAAACAAAGAGTGATATGTCTTAAATGTGACCGTTCTCTGGCTGGACTCTCTCCTCTCTGATAAATCTTTCCCAGTGCTCATTAATATAGCCTCCTTCAATCGCGAAGCGAATATGGTTCATCTAAAGGAAATGAGAGGAATGCCTGGGTATTAACTGTGGTCGGAACAATGTCGCCCACACACCAGTTCCCCCCTCTCCATGCAGCTGATATATCTTAAGGAACGGCAGTGCCGATACAGTTTGGGGTCAGCGGCGTCGCAGGTTCTGCCAGGGTGTGACACTGGGTGCTGCAAACTGCCTTTGAGCCGTCAGCACCTGATTTTTCCTTAGGGTTGACTCCCGAAGCCTTTCCCATGATTGGGTAGCATGGCTAACGAGCCCCTCCGACCCGAAGCTTACTGGTTAAGGCGCCAGTTACTCGCCTTAGCCCCTTCTGTTAGTGAGAACAGTTCCGCTGGACTCAATATCTGAGCCACACGCAAAGGCCTGGAGTTGGACTGGTTGTCAGAGACTATTTGAGACGCATGCCATTAGAAAACATTTTATAGGTAGTGGAGTGCTTACATCCATTACCACTTCCGGCAATGACAACCTTGCGGAATAAATCTTTCCCAGAACTATTTGAGTTCAATTGTTAATCCATTTTTTAAACAATACTTTTTATCGTGTAAAAATATACAAAATCTACTCAAATCTGCTACTGAGCCTATGATATCTGGGCACCATCACCTTTCAGAAGAGCCTGCTTCAAATTTATTTCGTTTCACCCGCTTAACGCTTTTTTTTTTAAATTCCAATCACGTGATCACCTCAAAAGGTTTGAGATATTTACATGTAATAGCCTCTTCCTCTACATTTCCTCCCAATGTGTCACTAGTTGACTTTATCCAATTGGTAGGAATGGACATTTTTCAAATTACCCATGACCATGATGTGAGCAAGGCAAAGACGACCAAAGTTTGGAGTTTGCATCTTTAACCTAAGCCATGTTCTAAATAATGTCATGGGTGTATAAAGACCTGATGATAGAGTGTGTTCAGACGTTTGATCTTCACATGCAAGAGATCACTGAACAGTTTGGTGTCTGGACAATAAGAAAAGAAAGACAGATCTTACACTTAAGCTTGTAAGTCAAATGAGAGATAAGTCGATAGGTAACAAACAAACATACCAACAATAAAACATCCATTCCAAATTTATATACTACAAACACAAATAAATTAAATAATTTGTATTCATTTTAATAGAAGCTTTCAAGTTGTTTCACCATAGGACAATAGTAGCAATAATCAAGTCAGAGCTTCAGGCTGAACAAACTTTCAAATTATAACATTTAAAGCATGTATCCTTTCCTTTAATAACAGGAATTAATTATTTAGTTCTAATTTTTTTTAAATCACAATCAAGATGCTTCTCTGCTATTGTTTCAATGGAAACAATGAAGTCAAGTAACAGTGACTAAATGTACTAAATGACCAGTGACTTTATTGTCTCCTATAGCAGTGTCTTTCAACAAAGCAAATATGCAAAGTACAGTACATTTAAATTTAAAATTTTTTTGCTATCAAAAACCTGATCTCAATACAATCGACAAATATCTTCTCTGATTACCTTTTCAAGCAAATAAATCTTATTACACTTCTGGAATGACAAAAAAAAATGACTTAAAATTACAAAAAAAAAAAATTTCACAAATTACAAAAAAAAAAAAAAAAAACACTCCACAAAAGACCAAACAAAACTGTTCCCCAAGGAAATGCAATCACTTTGTGCTGCACATATAAGAAAACAAAAAGTCCACTTTAAAACAAAGAGGCCTGCACAAAAACATTATTGCACATCAACATGTATCCAAGAAAGTGAATGCCAAGTGGTAAGAAGAAAAGAAACAAGTTTTTGATGACACTAAATCAAACACACAGACAAATGGATCACAATCTCACAAATAGATTATCACATTAAACATCTGTTGTACTTGAGACCCATTTTCATAACTAATCAGGAAAAAAAATAATACAGGTGGTCCAATATCTACTGTAATGTACAGGTCATCAAGTAACCACATGTGTTTATCATCTGAACCAATGGAAGAGAATAGTTTCATACAAAGTTGTTTGGCAAACTGAATCATCAAGTCATAAGGAAAACTGGAAATCAATGACCTCATTAATGAAACAAAAACATTTTAAAAAAAACACTTTTATTACAACATAACAAGAGCATTACATGCTGAACAAACTAGATCATCAAGAGGTCAGAGATCGCTTGATATCCTTCAGGAGCATGGAGCCAATGACCATTTTTTCACAATTGACAGTGACCTTGACATTCTTTCCCCCAGTGTTGACCGAGACCAGCACCAGCGTTGAAGTGGCCAGGGTGTGAGCAGCAAAGTTGAAGATGCTGGGGTCAGACGAGGGCACCTGGAGAAGGTTTGCCACAGTCATGACAGCGGAACAAATACTGTGTGGTGTTCTCTTGCTCTCAGGGACATCGCAGCTCTCCTGGTTCTCATTCATCCCTCCAAGTTTGGCTGAAATAGAACACAATGTATTTCACTTATTTATTAAGCAATTCAGAAGGTCAAACAGACATTTTTGAAAAAAGACAGACAAAAAGCACAAAACCAATAGCAGATATTTCTTAAATGGACTGCTAACATTCCATCATTTAAAGCTCAAGCATAGAGAGCCAGAGCTGACTTGAAGAGCTTCTCTGGAAATGTACACTTATTGCTGGTTAGAAGGAAACATTTTAAATAGGTATTTCAACAAGGTAGACTAATTGATAAACTGTCAAAATAGTGTGAATGGCTTCATCCCCAACCCACACCCAGCCTGTGGATATGTAGAGTTATGTATTCATACATTAGATAACACCTTTGCACAAGCTCAATAATGCACAGCCATCAATTAAAAAAAAAAAAAAAAAGAATGTATAAAAAATGCATTTTAGGTCAGCCAAAACAATTAAATCAAACATGTACGGTCAAGAGCATGTCAAAGGTACATAACTCAAAAAAAAATACAGATGAAAAGAAAAGAATCTTGGGTTTTAACAAATTTTCACTGTCAATAATGAGAGTTCACTGCCCCTTTCTCAAGCTCCCCGCTCTAGTGTAAGATCATTCAGTGTCTCACTTGTACTCATTCCTCCTCCTCGAGGTTTTCTTGAGGGAGGTTCATCCAGTCACCCAGTTTGAAAGAGCCAGTCCAGCTCTTACATCTTCACAGTGTTTAGTGTCTACTTGCCTCCGAGCTAACACTTGGCCAGCCAGACAGCTACGTGCTGACACCTGACCCCTGCTGATGGGCCGAGTTACAAGTTTGTCACAGGTACATGAACAACTCGTCACAGGCCCCTCAGGAGCCATCATCTCTGGATGGTGTCAAGAGCTTATGTCTCTAACAGTCAAACCAAATTACCGCAGCCTAATGTTTACTGAAATACACTTCTTTGCTATCTTTTCCAGCTTTGATCAAAATAACCATGGCGACGTTTACACGCTTTTCTTAGGAAAAAGGTTTAAAAGATTGAGAAAGTTATTTTTGTGCACATTAATTAGCCAGTGACTAAACGCTTTTTTTAAATACATGTTTTTGGCATGATTTCATGAAATTATTCTTGAATTTGTTTAGACTCATTCATTTGTAAACCAGAGTTCAATGCAGTATGAAAGATCACAAGTTTTGCCTATACATTCAAGTATAGACAACAAGCTAGTATATGTATGATCTAAGCATAAAATTTTTGTCCTATATTATTATGCTTATGAAGTAGTTTAGCATGACATTAAAAATAACGTCATTTAGATTATTAGATAATTAATAACTAGCATAGTAAGACTATTAGTCTTTAAAGCGTTAACATGTTTCTATTGAAAGAGACTTGAAAAATTCAACAGCAATAACTAGACTACATAATTTATCTCATTCAAAACATTTATGACCAGTCACTAAAAGCACTGTAGATTTTCAGAATACAGGAAAATAGTTCAAACCTAGTGTTGGGGTGAGGCATATTAGTGTTGGGGTGAGGCATATTAGTGTTGGGGTGAGGCATATTAGTGTTGGGGTGAGGCATATTAGTGTTGGGTGTCAGGTTTAGGAATAGCCGTTCACAATTAAGGTCCCGGGGTTCCACCTGACAAGACATCACTCACACACAGTCATGCATAGAGTAACCAACTATGTGAATAGTTTAAATAACAAAAATTAAATTAATTTAATTGTATGAAACTGATATATGTGTATGTACAATGAAGATGATAAATAGACAATATATATATTAGATATATATATAATATAAATATAAAGATATTATTCAACAATTAATTAAAGCACCTTTGCTACTGCTATCAACTTGTCACCCTGGTTTCATAGCCCACCAGACTCTGACCGACTGGCGTCACAAAACTGCCAACCTCGGTAATAGTAAAGTTAGACCTCAGATGATCGCCAACGCCCACACTAGCACAGACTTGAGCTCAGTATATACAACTCCAGCACTGACACCCCTAAACAGGGGTCCAAAAATCCTACTGAATAATAAGTCCAAGAAAACTAGTACAGACTATAGATATAATAACCTTTTACTGACCAACACACCGTCCGTTCCAACCAAAGTCAGACGGTGAACTGCCTCATGACAAAAGAATGACCAATAGATGTCACCGGACTTTGTGACATAGCAAGACAATTCCAAACAAAACATACAAGGCACTCTCGCCCCGTACAAGTACTATGAGTAGAGGAAATAAAAAACAGAGTTAGGATAACTACGCGACATTGGGGTGAGGCATTAGTGTTGGGGTGAGGCATTAGTGTTGACTGGTGTTAGAAAGAGAGAATGTTGAGGAGAATAAACGCTGAGACTAAGACTGTTGGGCTGATCCCAATTAAAAATGTGTTCTGATTGCATAGACTTTGTCAAAATAGAACTACAACTACAACACACAGGCATCTCAATCTTTGTCATGTTCCCAGTCCATGAGCAGAGCTGGTACAGGAACAAAAAGGTTTTTGTAGTGGAATCCAATAGCAACTGTGACCCTGTTTCCAATTTCTTCATTTCTGAAGCTGTCTATGTAGATGCTACCTAGGATCCTTCTATAACATCTCCATTCCATGACAAGGATCCACCTCTGCTTAAGTACCAGAAGTCAAAAGCCTATCTTGCTACAAGCTATGAACTCAGAACCACTTGACTAACAGACCAATGGCTTTACCATTCAGCCAGCCCACCATGAATATTGTAGTGCAGGACACACACAAAATTCCTTATTGGGTATTCCAGGGTACAACAGCTTGTGCTTAACAATAAATCACATCAAATATTAAAACAAGTCTCACCATCTTATTATTACAAGAAAGACTGACCAAGCTATGACTGTTCAAGCAAGTCCCTTTATTTCTTCTACTAATGACACTGTGCCACACTGACAAACTGTTCAGTCAAGAACACCACTTGCAATGCAGGCTGCCAGGTAAGAAGGATTTACTTTTACTTAAGATGAAAATATTTTTGTGCAGCCCATGTAATTTGATGATGTCTGACATCCATTGAGGAGGACAAGATGTCAGTTATAAGGGCCACTTCAGAATTTCATAAGACATTTGGTTACAGAAAAAAAAAGAGTGCTTTCTACTTCACATGCTTAAAACTATTTTTTAGAGTTACCTTTTTTTGACCCATTTTACTATTTGCAGGCCAGGATGACCTGTCTCTACTTGAACCAACTAACTTTAAGTATTGTTAAATTTGGATTAACCAGAACTTCACAAAGCTTTTAAGACCCTGGGTTCATAAGTCAGCTAACTGACCATTCAGCAAATACATCTCATGAGGAATCCTATCAATTTATGACTCACCTTTCTGTGACTTGAAATCATTCTCTCCCATTGTGTGAGGCTGCAGGAGCTCCCCTACTGGGGCAGAGATGGTGAGGGAGTATGTCTTTTGCTCAGTGACTAATTGAAAGCTAGCTGGCTGGGTGGTATCATTAAAGTTGATGCCCATCAGAACACAGGTACAAGCTCCCACACCAAGTGAGGCTGAAAGACGAAGGCTTTCAATTTAAACTGACATCATTTTGAAAAAAATCTTTTATCAGTTTAATACATTAAAGCTAAGTTTATTGACAATGGGAGTTAGTCATACTCACATATGATGTTAAACATTAACTCGCACTAGATCACAATCATAACAGTGACTTCATTTAATCTATGAAATTTTTTATTCTCATTAACAGACTTCATAGAAGAAAATTGTGATTTTTTAGTCCGCTTACAATTTATTTTTCAGAATTGCATGTAATCTAAATCAAATACAGCTATTGAATAACACCGTCTTCTTAATCTTGTTATTTTAAAATAATAATTACACATGTGCAATAATGTGCATACAATTACCTATTTAATTAGATAGGAAAAAGGGGCAAACACTTTCATATTAGATTTCAATGCACCTATAAGCATATTTCAAACAAGATGATAGTAAAATCTGATTTATAACTTGTAAATGGATAGTTGTAAACAAGATAGCCCCCTGGCATAACACAAACTTGTCTTTTTAATCTTTGTCTTAAAAATTTTTTTAATTAATGGTATAAATTGTGCTTATTTTTTATTTTAATAATGAAGAGTATGATTTTGCAGAAAATAATAAAGTTTCTTAAGTAGCAAGCTATTTAACTCTTTCTCTCCTAATTGACGATACC